GAACACAGGAGCCCCACAAGGATGTGTGCTGAGCCCCCTCCTCTTCACACTGCTGACCCACGACTGCACTCCTTCTTCCAGTTCCAACCTCTTTGTTAAGTTTGCGGATGACACGACTGTAGTGGGTCTCATCAACAACGACGATGAGACAAGCTACAGGAGTGAGGTGAGCAGGCTAGCCTTGTGGTGTAAGGACAACAATCTCCACCTGAATGTGGAGAAGACAAAGGAGATTGTTGTGGACTTCAGAAAGACGCACTCCCAGCATGCTCCACTGACCATTAACGGTGCCACAGTGGAGAGAGTGAGCAACACCAAGTTCCTGGGAGTGCACATCTCTGAAGACCTGTCCTGGAGCCACAATACCGCATCACTGGCCAAAAAAGCCAACCAGCGCCTGTACTTCCTCCGCAAACTGAGGAGAGCAAGAGCCCCGCCCCCCATCATGCAGACATTTTATACAGGCACCATTGAGAGCATCCTGTCCAGCTGTATCACTGTGTGGTATGGTGCTTGCACTGTGTCCTGCCAAAAGACCTTGCAGCGCACCGTGAGAACAGCTGAGAAGATCATTGGTGTCTCTCTGCCCCCACTCGTGGACATTTACTACTCCCGGCTGACCCGCCAAGCCATCCGGATCGCAGGCGACCCCACACACCCATCCCACAGCCTCTTCGGCCTGCTGCCGTCGGGAAGGAGATTGCAAAGTCTCCGTGCCAGAACCAGCAGGCTCAAAGACAGTTTCTTCCACCAGGCGGTCAGGAGACTCAACTCCCTCCGTGCTCTGCCCAAACTCCCCACCCTCTGCCTCTGCCCGACCCCTGCCTCCTGTCACAGACTATGACCCTCCCCTCATTATCCGTCATCTGCATATTGCACATTGCACAATGCACTACGTCACTTTTATCCTCAATAGCCTCAAGTGCCATTGTTTTATGCTGCTTTTATTGTATATATCGTCTTTTATTGTATATATCGTCTATATGTTTATACTGTTTTAGACTACATTGTCTTTCACTGTTGCTGAGGATTGAGAGAAATAAATTTCATCCATGCTACATGTCAATGTATGCATATTTGACAATAAAGTTGAACCTTGAACCTTGAACCTTGTTATTCTATAGCTCACTTGGCAATTGCAAACAATTTAAAATAGTTTTATTGTTGCTTTTCTTTTTGCGGGGGGCGGGGGGCATTAAAAACACCCAAGTAATTTTAAAGATGAAAAGCCAAATCATGAGTGTGTTTTCCCCCTTTGTCATTGCCATGTTTTTAACAATAATCTGCCATAAAGAGAGTGTCATGCTGGTGCCATACAGATGTGCATACATGTTGTGCATTAACAGTAGCTTCTGTTCTTTCCCAGAGGTTACTCGTAAACAAGACTCGCAGACTACAGGTGGCATTAGCGTGTGTGTGTGTGTGTGTGTGTGTGTGTGTGTGTGTGTGTGTGCGTGTGTGTGTGTGTGTGCGTGTGCGTGTGTGTTCACCACTTTTGTTGTGCAGCTCTGTGCCCCTAAGTGGCTCCCCTCACTGTCTGCATTGTTTCCCCAGGGTGACATGGCTGAGGCTTAATAGGCCTGCTGATGGTTTGTGAAAGTGGGGTGTTAATTATAACACTCTGCTCCGTTAGGCACAGTCATATTAAGGTTGCACCGCTTGAGCTTTAGAAGTCCAGACTGCTGACTCATTCTCTGCACTGAATGATAAAAAGAAATCAAACCTGCTATCAATTTGATGGTCTTAATTATCCGATTCTCTCTTGAGTTCGTAGTGTTTGTGTCATCGGGCATTTTACATCTCATTGTTTGCTAAACTCTGGTGAAGAAGTCTATTTTTCTAAATTAAATTACTGATTTGTTTTCTTTACCAACAAGTGCAGCAATCTGGTGTTTTTATTTTTGTCAGCATTTTCTTGTTCTACCGGAGGAAACAGTCATCCTTCTAATTGTCATTAGACTTTCCCTGCCTTCTGTCTCTGTATCCTGTGACTCTTGTTTTGTTTTACTTTTTTTTTTTTTTGCCCTTGAATAGATATTAGCAATTTCCACCCTGGTACTTAAAAAGTTAGAGCTAGCTCTGTCCGCTCCTTCTTGCTCGCTCAGTGGTAGCTCACAACTGAAGCCGCTCTGTTTCGCCGAACACAGTTGGGTTCCGTGCTAATGACCACATAAAACCTTAGATGAATAACAAGAAAGCAGAGAGAATGAGTGCATATGGTTGTAGAAGCTGTGCACATGCCACAGGAACTGTTTCCAAAGGAAATATGGTTCTTTACCTATTGCCCAACCATGGGCAATATGATCACTCTCTTTTTCAGACCGAAGTCCTTTTTCGCGCTGCACTTAGCAATGTGCATCCTACATTGGGTAGTGTATGTAGTGGCTTATGGACTTGAGGACGGAATGGCATCTGCAGATGATTATGCGCCACACTGCAACACGGCCTCGAATTGAAAAAAATTTCTATTTAAGAGCGGCGTCGCAATTAAATGTGGAGGTGCATCCAAGGGGATAGGAGGGGCCAAGTGATTTCAGAGTGCTAACAGCAATAGAAAAACCAGCAGGAAAAGCCTCAGTTTCTTCCTGGTTGGCTGCTATGTAAGCACTTGTAGATATGGGCACATTTGCAATGGGGTGCTCTCCTTTGCCTTTAGTCTTGCTCTTGCCCCCACCAATGTGCCAATGTTGCAGCATGTGTGTCCAAGGTCAAACTCCATTTGACCAAAACTAACAACATGTACCCATTTTAGCACTGCATTTGACACCTATTTTGACAAGCACATTCTGTATGTCCATTTTTTTAATCAATTAACCAGGAGTAATAGTTCTATTCTTAAAGCTAGAGTTGACAATTGTTACAGATGGTCCGTATTTTGTTAAGTAACGCTGACCGCTAATTTACCACACTCATAACACCAATATATTAAAAAAATCCAGCAACCCAGGACAAGTATGGCATATGCGATGAACATTTACAAGACCAAAGTGGTTCTGCACTGTGTGATCTTGTTTAATCCGTGATCATAAATGATTGATTTTATATTTTGCTTTTTTTTAACACAGGTAAAAGACCAGCTTCTGTGGTATTTGATGTTGCCTTTAGATAGGTTCAACTGAAGATGGAAACACTGGAGTCTGAGCTGACCTGCCCAATCTGCCTGGAATTGTTTGAAGATCCTCTGCTCTTACCGTGCGCCCACAGCCTGTGCTTCAACTGCGCCCACCGCATCCTGGTGTCTCACTGCTCGTCCAGCAAACCGCTTGAGTCTGTTACGGCCTTTCAGTGCCCCACCTGTCGTTACGTCATCACGCTGAATCACCGCGGGCTGGAGGGCCTTAAGCGCAATGTGACGCTGCAGAACATTATAGACCGCTTTCAAAAGGCCTCCCTGAGCAGCCCCAATTCGCCTACTGAGAGCCGGCGCCTGCAGCGGCCCTACACCGCCACCATTAGTGGCACAATAGCCGGAACAATTGGCGGCGGTGGTGGCGGTGGCACGAGTGGAAGCAGCGCCCGGAGCAGCCCGGCCACTTCCAGCCACCCCCACCCCCACCCGCACGCCAATCACACCAATCACATTAACCACACCAACGCCAACCACAGCCCGGCTTTTGTGGCTAAAATGGATCCGCGCGTCTGCTGCCAGTTCTGCGAGCAGGATCCGCCTCGCGAGGCCGTCAAGACGTGCGTCACGTGCGAGGTGTCGTACTGTGACCGCTGTCTGCGAGCGACGCACCCCAACAAGAAGCCCTTCACGAGTCATCGCCTGGTGGAGCCTGTGCCGGACACGCACCTCCGCGGCCTAACCTGCATGGAGCACGAGAGCGAGAAGGTCAACATGTACTGCCTGGTGGATGACCAGCTCATTTGTGCCCTCTGCAAACTGGTCGGGCGGCACCGGGAGCACCAGGTGTCTTCCCTCACCGAACGTTTTGACAAGCTCAAAGTAAGTCCTTCGTGTTCTTTTCGGTTGTCATTATGTCATTTGTTGTACTTTACTGGTAAAACCTGACTGTGTATGAAATCGTTTCTATTTAAAAGCTCTGTTTTGCATTGCCATATTTCACAACTTGATACAATATTTTTGGGTGCTATTCCCAACCATTACAATTTTTATTAGAGCCACTACTGAATACCCAAATGATCAGATTTGATCAGAGAGAAGGAGACAAAAAAAAGCTTTTGGAACGGTGTGCCGGCGAGCGTGGAGAGGCTCTGAGCAATAGGTGAGGCAGTCATGATAATACTCGATGAGCTGGCATTCCATGTGACCGCGATGGCTTTCAGAGTCTCATCGTAAAAAGAGGGAGTGCTGAGTCAGGGTGAAAAAAACAACAGAGAGGTACGAGCTGGAGCTAATTCTGCCACCAAAGACGAAAGTTGGAGTTGAACACATGCAAGCAACTGGACTTTTCTGACTTTTGTAAATAATCGGAGCCAGAAACGGTTGTGTAAAAGTCAACCTGAAGTGTGTTCAAATAAATAATTATCATAAAGCAGTACAAGTTCACGGATTTAAAATTGTGTCACGAATTTAATATTTTCAAGTTTTATCGTAAACACAGAAAATACAAATCCGATGCGTTTTTTTCCCCCCACTGGCGATGCTGTAAATAGAAACAACCAAAATGAATGAAATTTACTGAAAATTGAAACAGTGATGATGATCACAGAAGATTTTTTTTTTTTTTGCACACCTTCCTAACAACTTTTTTCCTGCATTCTCTGCTTACAGGATAATTATGTTTTCCACACTGGTTTTGCATATCTTTCACTTCTGCCTGTGTCTTTTTTGTAGGTGAAACAATATGGTTGTTCGTTACGTTCTGTGCCGGATATGTTTTGCACTGAGTCGCGTTGTATTCTTCTTCTGTGTTTTCTTCTTGTTGTCCTCTTCGTTGTTTTCTTCTTGTGTGGTTCTCATCCGTTTGTTTGATATTGCAGCATGCACATGATGGGAGAAGCCAAAAGATCTAATCACTCCTCTCAGAGAGAGTAAATTAGGTAGTAATGGTAATTTGAAGTTAAAACAGGAATGCAGTACCTCCCATCTAAAGTTTTCTCTTAGTTTCTCAGTAAGCCACCATTCATTCCTATAATTACTCTATTTTTGGATGTATTACGGTGGACAGTGTCCTGTGAAATGGCATGAAGAGAGAACATGCAAACATAAGTTTCTCTGTGCAGTGAGCAATTTTTGGTTGATCTCATTTACTGAAGGGAAATAGCAATTACACGGTCATTTTGCTTGTACAAAGAAAAATGTGGGTATCAGAATTAGTTTGCAGCAGTAAGTGTGAGAGTTTTCTTCAGTGTGCGACAAACCATCTCGAGGGAAACGCCACAGAGCCGTTGTTCCCTGCCGCAACATAAGTTTGGTTTTAGAAGAAATAAAATTCCCAAATTCTGTATTCTTGATGATTTGCGCTCCCATAATTGTGTTGAGCTAACTTTAGCATGAACGTGTCTGCACCATTCAACCTGCTCAGCATCATTGACTTAACCCACAGGGAAGCTGTGTTATTTGTTCCTGCTTGCTTCTGCCACCTCGTTGTTTTGAGACTTTTTTTTCGACTTTTATTGGGAGAAGTGGCCGGCTCTTCTAATGCTTTCTCCTCCACTTCATGGCTTCTTTCTCGAGGTTCTTTGAAAAACTCCCCGCAGCCAAAGCTTTGAACTTTCTCTTTTTAAAAATCCTCCATCTTGTCCACATCTGGCACAGTGGCAGCTCGAGTCCCAGCTCGAATTCAGCTGGCAAGTGCCAGTTAATCTGGTTTTCAATCACGGCAAAGCGAGGCAGAGGAGGTCTTATTAGGGCATCCCTAATCATGGAAGATGTAGGTCAAGAGGGGCTTTATGTATTCTGCTTTTTTTCTGCTCCGTCTTGGGAGAAAATTTTTGTTTGAAGTTAAAAGTACCTTTTACACAATGACACTCACCAAGGGCAAGCACATACTGCACGTCCACTTTTTTTTTTCTCCAATGTCTGAGAATCATCACAGTGAAACCTTTTGCATACCAATGCATATTAGCGCTTAGAGTTTTTTTAAATTGGGAAATGCAACCTCTGATGAGCAAAAGCACATGGCACGGCATTGCTGATGATAAAGTAATAGTTTTAATTTGCTGCATATTTGAGGGAATGAGAATGCGTTTGTGTTATAAGTATTTTCACACACTGATTTAATATTTTGGAATGTGTAGTTGTTAAATAAATCAGAGTGCATCATACCCTGTGCGTTGTTACTTTCCGTTATAGTCACATGATTGTAAACCTTGGGGGAGAAAATCTCTCTCTCTCTCTCTCTCTCTCTCTCTCTCTCTCTCTCTCTCTCTCTCTCTCTCTCTCTCTCTCTCTCTCTAAAAAATTTTAAACGACATCGAACATTTACAAATGAAAGGTTGCATTTTTTTAATCCTTTGTAATACGACTATCCATGTATTGATATCAGCCAACACCTAAACAAATTCCCTCTGTTAGCCATGGTCAATGCTGGCCTCACTTTGTTTGATCTTTAACCTCTGCCTGATATTCCTCCATGAGCCAAATCTGTAAAATTCAGTATTGTAACTCTGCTGCAACAGAAGGGTGCGTATTCCCCATTCAGCTGTTCAGCCGAGCTCTTTGCCTAGAAGCAGACATATGAGGCTTTGAATTGGCAGGTTTCAGTGCTTGTTTCTTTGTTTGTTTAAGGATACCATCACTTTCAGTTTGTAATTTTGTTTGATGGTGTAAAAGTCTCATCACCTACTGCTTGTGCAAGTGTTTGTGACTGGATGTGTTTCTGTCACGGAAACAGTTCAGTACATTTTTTTTTTTATGATAGAAACTAACGAAATAAAATGACATCATGCTGAAAGGACACTTCTAATATCTGGTCGCAAAATTTGATGAAATTTAAATGGTGAAACCATGGGTGCAATTCCCTTAAAACAAGAAAAAAAACAGCTTCCCAGTTGTCCCTACTTAAGTGTTTATCTATCTATCTATGTATTTTATTCATTCATTCATTCATTCATTCATTTATGTATGTATTTATTTATTCGTTTATTTTCATTGGGACAGTGCACATTAATCAACACAACAATAAACAGTGTAAGTGTGCCGGATTTAGCATAAATGCTAGTTATCAGCCGTCGTCCCAAGGTAGGTTTGTTAACATAAACAGTTAACATAAAATAAGAAAATAATATAACACGACACATAACAAAACACGTGTTACCGTGTTCACTACGGTAACACATTTAGTTAATATGCATTGTAAAGTGTGACATTATGACAATTTGTATATTCTTTCTCTTGAAAATGTCAAAGGAATGAAAAAGGGCAACAGAGGGCAACTGACAATCACATCACCCCAAAACACAAATGAAATTTCAGTATTTGTGCATTAGATCACATCAAATGAAAATATGTCTTTTGTTTCCTTGATTTAAACATTGTTTTTCCTTCATGTCCTCGCTTGAGGGTTTCAAGAGCATAACATTTTGCTATTATAGCTCTGGTGAAAGATCTTGACAGGTCTCTTGTGTACATGGACCTCATGATAGCTCATCCGAGGATAGCAGAAAGTCCCTCAGGCAACTTTTTGGGGGGGATTATTTCCTGTTTTGGAAAAAGCTGGTCTTCACAGATTGACTCCCTTCTTCATTCTCAGTTTCCTTCAGTAGTATTTCCAGCCCTCCTTCTTATTCTTCATCCTCCTCAACCCATCATCCACCACACAGTATCCTCTGCTTCCCCCACCAATCCAAGCTCCTTAGGCAATGTCTAATTTCTATGTGATGTGTGCATCACATCTGCTGCCACTTGGGCTCCACTATAGATTTAGCAAAATTGATCTTGTGCAGGAGTGCACACATTTACTGTTTTTGTGTGATCAATGCCTAAAGGCGCTAATAAGAGCAACGTTTGTCACAGTCCATTTTAAAATTGAACCACTACAGCAATGATGTATTATTACAATAATGTTAACATAGTAATTATAACAAACAGATTTTAGGGTGAATCTCATAAAGATCTTTTGTTGTCCCACAATTTCATAATCTCTCTCTCTCTCTCTCTCTCTCTCTCTCTCTCTCTCTCTCTCTCTCTCTCTCTCTCTCTCTCTCTCTCTCTCTTCTGTGTGTGTGTGTGTGTGTGTGTGTGTGTGTGGGTGTGTATCGAGAGAGAGACAGAGAGAGAGAGAGAGAGAGAGAG